GAGACGGGGGGGAGGGGGGAGAATTGGGGGAGTGAATCCATCCCGTCCTGCAACCTGCCCCCAGGCCTGACAACTGCCCATCCCCATCCACCTCCCCAGCCGCTCCCTCACCCCCAGGCCGGCCCCCTCTCCATCTCCTCCCCAGGGCTCCTCCCCATCCCCACCACCAGATCCAATCCCCTGCGTCCCATAGACGTTCTTACCCGCCATGGCTGTGGCCCCCCAGCCTGTGACCCAGCACGTGTGGTTCTCAGGGATGGTATCGGAGAGGTCGGGCAAGCAGATTGGGCGGATTTCGTCGGTGTATCCCACCGCTGCCTCCAGCTGCACCAGGGCGATGTCGGCCACACGGGTCCCCCTGTTGTAGTTGGGGTGGGGGATGATCTGGCGCACAGGGGATGCCACGCGGCTCGGGGAGGGGAAGGAGAGCTGGTGCTGCCCCAGGACTACACGGTAGCCAAACTGAGGGAAGAGGCTGGGGGGCAGAGAGAACGCCGTGATCAGTGGGGAATTGGCTGCCAGCATGGGCAAAAATGCAGCGGGATCCGGGCCACATTGAGGGAAACCCCAGACAGTCAGAGGCAGCCACTTCTGGGGTGGGCTGGCTTGGGGAAAACCACACACAGGGCTGCACGGAGGTGGCTCCTCCCATTCCGAGATGCAGCCACCTCTGGGGTGGGCGTGCAGGGAGGTGGCTCCTCCCATGCCGAGATGCAGCCACCTCTGGGGTGGGCTGGCTTGGGGAAAACCACACACAGGGCTGCACGGAGGTGGCTCCTCCCATTCCGAGATGCAGCCACCTCTGGGGTGGGGTGCCAGGGGGTTGGCTTGTCTGGGACAGATCCAGGCGCGGGGGGGTCGGCGATGGGTGAGGCGACCCCAGCCACACTGCAGTTCCCCGTGGGGTGGCTCAGCTGGAACAGGCCCAGGTACTCACAAGTCGAAGCAATGCGCTGCCGACACGACCCACTGGGCCGAGACGAGGGACCCCCCGCAGTGGTGGTGTCCATTGTACTGGAGGCTGACCTGCCACGGCCACCGGCCCCTTGGGGCGTCCCCACCCCCGACAACTCGGACTGAGATCCTGGGCTGCCCGCACCCTGGAGGGGAGCAGCATGGATATGGGAGGAGCAAAGAACTCAGAGTCTGGACTGTCGGCCCCTCCTCTTCCCTCCCCCTTCGCTCTAACCACTAGACCACACTCCCCTCCCAGAGCTGGGGAAAGAACCCAGCAGTCCTGGCTCCCAAGTCTCCTCATGGCAGGTGTCCAGGGCAGGTAATTCTGGTGTTTGGCCGTTAGCATCTTACCTGTGTGATTCCAGCTCCCCATAGCGCCTAGGGAGCAATGACAGAGAAGGTAAAGACATTAATGTATGGGGGGGGGCAAGGCTGAGGGGATGTTCACAGGCACTGCTGGGGTCTGAGAAGGGGTGTCAAGGGTGATGCATCCCAGTAGCTCCGCCCATAATTCCGGGCCCCAACCATTGCCCCAGAACAGCCCTGCTGTCCTCAGCACCAGCCGCACCCTTTGGCCACATTTCTAGTTGATTTACCATCAGTAGGTTCAAGAATCAACACCCCCCCTTGATCTGAATGGGGCTGCTCAGCACTGAAGGCACCAATCCAGACCGCGGGGCTCTGGGAAGGGACAAGGGCTTGATTTCCCCTGATATTCCTGAGCTCAATTCCTTCCCCAGGCCCTACACCCCTCACTCACCCTGCAGCAGGGTCATTGCCAGTAGCACTAGGGCCAGCAGGGAGCTCAGAGGCCCCATGGTTCAGCCTTCCCCAGGCCTCTCGTGACCGCGCGCAGCTGCCTCCGTCTCTCAGCTCAAAACCCAGCTGGGGATGCAAATTCTGGGCCGGTTTTTATGGGCACCGACGTGCCCCTCCCTGGCTCAGTGGAGAATAATGGGGCTGCATTTCCTGCTTCCCCAGGCAGGCAACGAAGAGCTGGTAAATTCCACTTGCTGAGCAGGTTGTAGCTGCTCTCGTTCTGCTCTGCCTGGGGTCAGCCCGGCCTGGGCCTGCTGGAAACCAACCCAGGCTCTTGATGACAGATCACTGGGTGGAGACCGACCGCAACTGTCACTTCCCCGTGTTCTCACCAACCGAGGGTGCTCGGAAGAGAGTGACCATGATAGCACTGTGGACAGGGATGTGGTTATAATGGGGCAAAGCTTACCACTGGATTAGGGTTATCCTGGATTTGAGGGTCTCGCGGGGTTAAGGCAAAGACTGTCATGGGTAGGGGATGAAGGCATCATGGGCATTGGTCGTTGGGGTTGAAGGTACTGGTCATTGGGGTTTCGGGCGTCATGGGGGTTGAGGTCGTTGGGGTTGAAGGCACTGGTCATTGGGGTTTAGGGCATCATGGGGGTTGGGGTTGAAGGCACTGGTCATTGGGGTTTAGGGCATTAAGGGCGTTGGGGTTAAGGGTGTCATGGGGTAGGAGATAAGGGCGTCATGGGCCTTGGGGTTTAGGGCGTCATGAGCGTTGGGCTAGAGGGTACAGTAGAGTTTAGGTTTACGTGTCACTCCCCACCCTGTTTTTTGACCCATCGCCGTTCTCGTTGCCTCTCTCCCATGATCACTTGGGGGATCTGCCCCATGCAGCTCAGCAGTTCCATCCAGTTGACCCTGTGATGTCGGGTTTATGACGTCGTTGGCCTGCGACACCTCCATGAGGGATCCAACATTTGTTGCCCAGAGGGGGCTGGGCCAGCAAGACTTGGGACGACGTTCATTGGTTACTCATCTAATGGCCACCCCTTCAGACGGACTCATCTTGGCCACCGGGTTCCCTGAGGTTGGCAGATCCTACTTCCCATCCCCTTCCCCACAACCCACCTCCTGCATCCTTCACCCACCTCCGCCCAGTTACCAGACACTCCCTGGCCTCCATGCTTAGGACCAGTCTGAGCAGCGCTGCCCCTAGTGGGTATCAGACCATCGGCATCTAAACCACAGAGTTCCCTCTGAGCTCAAGGGCTGGCCCTGGGGAGCAGCCTCACAGGGCAGGACCCTACATCCCCGCCCCTCACTCGCCCTGCAGCAGGGTCATCGCCAGCAGCGCTGGGACCAGTGGGGAGCAGAGACGCCCCATGGCTCAGCCCTCCCCAACCTGCCTTGGCCAAGCCACCGCTCGGCTCAACGCTCAGCTGGGTGATAAAAGTGCCAGGGCAGGTGTTACAGGCACCTGTGTGCCCCTCCCTGGGGCTATTCTTCTCCAGCACGGGGGGCAGATTTCCTGGCAGCCCCAGCAAGGAAATCTGGGCTGGTACATTTCACACGCTGATGACAGGGTGTCGGCTTTCAGTCTGCTCCACCTGGGGCCATGCCAGCGCGAGCCTCCTGCAAAACCAAATGGAAACGCGAGGGCCGAGGGCCTGGCGTGAGCCCTGCAGTGATTTCACTTGTGTGTGTTCTGTCGCTTGGGTGGGCCGAGGGGAGTCCACGGTAGCACGTAGGCCCAGGAGGCCGTGGCCATGGGGCGAAGGGAACGGCTCAGAGGGCAATGGGGTAAGAGCATCGTGAGGGTCTCACGGACACTGGGGTTAAGGTTCTGATGGGGAGGAGCATCTCAGAGACTGACAGGCCCCAGGGCCAAGGGGAGAGGCCAGCGCACCAGATTAGCCTGATTGACAGGGCAGGCAGGCCAGTGAGGGAGACAGGAGCCCCGGGGCCATCCTCCATGTGAGGTGGGCAGAGTTAAGGGGAGCAGTGAATAGCTGGGGAGAGCAAAAAGGAGTCCTGGGCGAGGGCCCAGCGCAGGGAGATGTCACCAAGGCGGGGGGATGCTGGGGAGAAGGGCCCAGCCCCCTAGCGCCCGGGAGCATGTGGCCACCACCAGAGCAGGTGTCTGACCCACGGTGTCCCCACAACCAGCCAGAGCAGGGATGGATGAGGACCAGACTCTGGCCTTGCCTTTCGTCCCAGGGATGCTGGTGGTGGTACCCCCTGCCCACAGGGCGGGTCCTTCCTTTCCTTTTCCTGCCCCAGCTTTCTCAGACTTTTCTTATTGCTGCTCGTTAATAAATCGTGTCGGGTTTCACTGACTGCTGCGATCAGCGGGTCTGGGGACGTCTGGTGTGAGTGGGTCCAACAGGGCCCTACGGGAGCCAGGCAAGCACCCTACAATCGCAGGATCCTTCCCCCACACACCTTCCTCCCCCTGCGAGTGGCTCTAGGGAAAGGATCCAAGAGCCCTCAGCCCCACCCCTGGTGCCTGGAGACAGAAAGACAAATGGGGCAGGGTGCGGCCAGCCAGGCACGGGACAGAGACACGCACCGAGCACGGGACACAGACCGAAACGTAACGTCGGGCTCGGCACTGGAGTCTGGCTTGCGAGGTGAGCGCCTGGCTGTGAATGCAGAGGGCTGTGGGGCGCGATGGGAGAAGGGGGCAGACCTTGAGCCCAGGCGTGGGCTGGAAAGGGGTGCTTGGTTGGAACTGAGGGGCACCGGCAGGGCAGGGCTGGCAGGGGCTGTGAGGTGGGAGTGGGGGGCACCAGCAGAGCAGGGGGCAGAGGGCAGGGCTGGGCTGGCAGGGGCTGGGGGGCAGGACGGAGGGGCACTGGCAGAGCTGTGCG